AGACTAGGTACAGACTGTAGGATCAGGTTTTTCTAACACTCTGGAACCCACAGGACCTACTTTGTGGTTGTTTGTCAGCTATCTGAAACAGCAATTAATTTCGTTGTATAGGGATGTATAGGAAAATAATATATCTATCTTTGTTTTGTCTAATTATACCAAGTATGTAAAAACACCAGAATGTAACTTGATCCACAGTATAAACAGTGTCAGCTGTGACCATCTTTTGTAAATTGTATTGGATTTTTTTTACTTCTTATTAGGAGTTTCTCCTGCAAGATGGTTGCATATGGCAGACTTGGTCATAACCAGGGCTGGCTCCAGGGTTTTGGCCGCCCCAAGCAGCCCCAAAAAAAAAAAAAGACCGTGATCGCGATCTGCGACATCAATTCAGCGGGAGGTCCTTTGCTCCCAGCGGGAGTGAGGGACCGTCTACCGAATTGCCGCTGAATACCTGGATGTGCCGCCCCTCTCCGGTGCGGCCGCCCCAAGCACCTGCTTGCCAGGCTGGTGCCTGGAGCCGGCCTTGGTCATAACATATCATACGTATCATAATAGCAGAAAAGCAATAATATAATTTTATATATTGTGGGCACAGTGCTGCAGTTCCTTCTTAGGCAAAATGCCCACACGCAAAGTAAGTTCTTATCTAACTCACTCTTTCCTAGTCTTGTCATTGCTTAGGCCAGAAAAGTGCACTAGTTTAACTAAATTGGTTTTAAAGTGGTTTAGTTGAGCTGGTGCAGACACTTACTATAGATTCACTTCAACTGATTTAATGAGAAAAGGTGGGTGAGGTAATACCTTTTATTGGACCAACTGAACTTTAAGTCAGTGAATTACTTTTGTGTGTGGACAAGACTGGAGCTTCTAGATGAACCAGACCCTTTGGTGGACAATCCATTTAAAGCAGAAGTACAGAATTATGCAAAAGAGTTCAGAAAAGACAGGAATAAGTGCTTTTGGCAGCCTTTACTGAAAAATACTGACATGAAACTTGTAACAGGAGCTAAGAAATGTAAATATAAGTTCAAGAGGAAGAAAACTAGTTAGTTAAGCCTTTTGGAATCAAATCTTATGTGATTTGATTATATATCAAGTGAAGAAATTGCTTGTTTAGACTACATGTATTTCCAGTAAAATGGTAATGAGTCACAGCACATCATTTCCAGTGCTTTCGGACCCAATGAAACATATATAAGGGTTTTCATGTTATTTTTGTTTTCTATAACAAATGGCTGGATGTGGGTAATGTAATAGATGTTGAGTAATGATGTGTGAATGAGAGATCATCTCAGCAGAGATACAGTAGATCCCCATTTATCTGATCTAATTGGGACTGGGGTCAGATTAGATAACCAAATTTTTGGATAATCCAGAGAAAGTGCGAGGCTGCAGCACCATCTAGCGGTCACAGGAGAGGTGGCCTGCTTTTGGACCTGTGAGCACTGGTGGTTTGGTTAATATGGAGAGCCCGATAAAGGGGATTCTACTGTATTTGTATTTCTGCCTGGGGAATCACATGCAGGCATTTTTACTTTCATTATAGTCACTTATGGACCAATCCTGGAAGCCCTCTAGGCATAAAACTCCCATTCAACTCAATAGCAATTCCAAACATAGGGGCCTAATCCAATGTCAACTGAAGTCAGGACACATAATAGCCTTTTCACCAGGCACTGCTGTCTTCCTCACAGCTTTCCAGAAGCACATTCCACTGACATTCTGCAGTTTCTCAGGCTAAAGTTAAATCTCTCCTTCCACTTGTACAAGCGTCCACTGTAAGGCTTCATAAGCCAAGGAAGCAGAAAGTAAATTGCATCTCCCAGAATGAATGGAGGAGTCTTAATTCCATGAATGTCCACAATGTTCTGAGGAGCAAAAGTTCCCTTGCTAACTCCAGCAAACAGGCATGATTTTCTAACCATAGTTGCATCATGGACCTTTCCAGACCACAGCACATTACTACTGATTAGTCTTCCACAGTGATCAAGCATGCCTTGCAGCTCCATGGAGAAATACCCCTCCTTTTGATAAAGTCTCTGTGGCCTGATTTGGGGGCATAGAATAGGTGTATGTGTCCCATTAATAGTTCTTATATGGTTTGGGAACCCCAGGCCATCAATAACCTCCTGTGCATTGCCAAGCTTTATGAAATGGCACAGTAGCACCCTCCTCATAGCATTGCAGACCTCCTGACAACAGCCCTGACAGTTGTTCTGCCAACACCAAACTGGTTAATTACTGACCAATAGAAATCAGACATGGTGAGCTTCCAGATGGTGATGGCAACACGTTTCTTCACACAGAAGGGTACTCTCATGTTAGTCTTCTGCTGTTGCAGATCTGGGATGAGCTCTGCATAGATTTTTAGGAAAGTTGCTTTTATCATTTTGAAGTTCTGCCATCACTGCTGGCCATCTCTGGTCTGCATCATTATCCTCTCTCATCAGTAACTGCTAGTTGGCTGAGCACAGAAGCAGCACCCAACTGGGTACAGATGTTCCTGGTACATGCTCTGTGAAAGTAACTGCTCAGTTTCATCCTCCTGCTTCTCCTCACCCTGTAGCCGTATTGCCACAAAGTCAACATCCCTATGAAACTGTAGAGCCAAACCCATTGCCTACATGACTCAAAATTCACATGCATCATCCTCTTCATATGAATGATTACCATGATTACCATGATCGCAGTCCTCAGCTCTGGGTCCTCCATGCTGCCCGATACCAGCTGGAAAATGGGACCAGCAAAATGAACGAATGGCAGGAGAGGAATCATGGGACTGTTAGTTTGACGCCAAGTCTTAGTATTCCTGGAGTTTACAGTATGCATCAGATGTATCATGTGAAAAAACATAGAACAGAGAGCAGAGTAATGGACCAGGGCACCATGAGATATCTGCCCAGAATGAAGAGCAGTAAATTTGATCTAAGGCAGAACTGTGTGGACACTATGATTAACAATTAAAGTACACTGTAATAAGTGCTGTGGAGGCACTTCTTCTGTTCACTACAGTTAAATCGCTGAATTTTAGAGCAAACAAATTACATCGCTGTAATATCCCCATGTAGACATGGCTTAACTTTTATACTATTATTTTCTTCTGTCTTGACTTATAGGTTAAGTTACAGCAAACTAATACCACTTTATTCCTGAGTGAGAGCATGCACAAATGGGTTTAACCCGCTGTAATTTATGTGCATTGACTTACCCTGTTAGTTGATTTCCCTTAAGTTTCCGGAGTGTCCACGTGTAGACATGCCCTCAAAATCAAACACAACTAAGAGCATGTTAGCTGCATTCTATTCCTTCTTGTGTAGCAATAGAATTTTTTACTGACTTCCAATTACAGGACGAATTGGTTTTACCTGTGCAAACTTATTGATGGCAGTGTACTTATAAGAAGAGTCACTGATGGCTGACTTGAAGACATAGGGTTGCATAGGTGTCAATGATGGCCTAATTAATCCTGCCAACCTTTATTACAGGTATTAATGCATGAGAATGAAAGAACCCAATTTGACTTTGAGCTTGCAGGGTTGGTAGTTAGAAATTTTTTTTTACTTGTACAATGAGTACATTGGATACATAAGTCTTTGAGACAGACAATATATATGGAACCCCACACTGCCATTTTGTAGAGCCAGAATAAAATTGCACTTCAGTATGATTTAAAAAAAATAGCCTTTATTGATTAGAACAGATACTGAAATCCAGATCCTATTATATGTCTTATAAATTTTGACACTGAACCTGAATGTCCACAGGCAAAAAAAATATTTTTAAAAAATTACTCTGATGCCTTTTTCACAGTGACCTTAATATCTGTCCCCTTTCTTTGTGATACTTCAAGAGAGAAAATAAATCTGTTCAATCTTGTTCTCCTTAATTTGTATGATAACTAGCACTTAATTATAGGTATACAAATATGATGTCTGTAGTGATTATAATTAATAGGGACAATGCATCCTGTAACTTGCATGGGTAAAGTTCAAGGGTCAGATTCCTCCACTGCTTGCACCTAAAATTCCCATTGATGTCAGCGGGAGCTCTGGATGTGAAAGATATATTGGATTGGGTTCTCGGGCATTACTGGCCACATATTGGATGAAAGGAGAGAACATGAACTGGGCAGAGAATTGCTGTTGGATGACACACGAGCCCTTGCTAGACCCGTTGCCATGGACAATATGCTGGTGTACTCAGTAATGGAGTACAGGATTCTGAACACAGTTCCTCCTTCCATGTGTGTCATTTATTTGGGAATGTTAAGAGGCTAAATGCCAAAATCCTGACTCCATTGTAGTTGGTGGCAAAATACCCACTGACTTCAGTGGAGAAAGGTTTTCATAATGTGTATATCACTCAGTAATCCAGGGCCTTATGTTCTAGAAATATATTCAATCTGTATAGGGATGACATTTCTGGACAATTTATATAATAGCTATCAATCAACCGGATCCTATAATAGAAATAAAGTTTCTCTGCTTCCTTCTAGGAAGAAAGTAGAACACTTTAAATATCAAAGGAGGGTTATTAGGTAGGCATTGTCACAGTTGCTTATGTAATTGGAGGTGCTATTTTAAACATCCAGTTTTATATTTAATAGATTAAGAAAAGATGTTATAACACATCCAGCTAAGATAAAAGTATCTTAAGTGTGTCCACCAATTTTGCACTCTCAACAAGCGATAGGCATAGATGCTAACATTTAGATATCTTAGATTATAGACTCTCTGGGACAGTGACTGTATTTTTATTGTATGTGTATATAGTGCTTAGCACATTAGGGTCCAAGTCCCATTATCTCTAGTTGCTACCACAATAGAAATACTTAATGATATTATCTGACTGCCTGATTTCTGAGTACACTTCTGTTGCTAGCCATCTAGATACTAGCATTTGCATCTGCAGTTATATGAGTCCACAGAATCAGAAGCTGTTTTTCAAAAGCAGCCTGTAGAGTGTGTTACCTTCCTTTTCCAAAACTGCTAGCAGCAGCTACAGCCGAGAGCACAGACAGTCCTCTCACCTCTCCCCAAATACAGGTCTGTGGTTGAAGGAAATCTTGTGGCTTTGTTTAGGCCTTACAAGAGCAGGATTCTTTCTATTTCTGGGGGTTTTTTTTTGGGGGGGGGAGGGGGAAGGAGTGAGGGGGGGGATCTTTTGTTCTAAAAGATGTCTGAACTTCGCCCAGATGGGCGTAGTTCCATGCTTGACTCGGTGCTGCTCTTTTGTAGGCATAAAAAATTAAAATTCTGTAATATAGAGATCTAAAATTAATTTTTAATTATGTCTGTTTAAACATTACTATGCTTAGGCAGTAATCAAGCTAGCGTTGCAAAATATTAATACAGCAAGAGAATAAAAGCTAAATGAAAGCATTTATTGCTTTTCAAATGTTTATACCATTTAAAGAGGAAAAAAATGTGGAAAACTTCTTCTTGTGTCTAATGACTTTTCAGGCTCCAAAGTACACAAGGGAGCTGAATCCATTCCAGGGAAAAACCTCAGGAATGCAAACATTTCACTAAATACAAAACAGTCCTGTTTTGACTTTCAAAAATTGTGTTATTGCAACATCCCTAAATTACCAAAAAGCTGGAAGTCTTCTACATCCAAAAGTTGTGATGTGGGCCAATGGAAATATTTTACTTAAAGTGTAGAGAAAAGCTAGTTATACTGTTTCAGCAAAGTCTAGGAGCATAATGTGATGTGTAAGCAGAAAAAAGAGCGACACATTTCCCCACAGTCAAGGAGCTAGAGGAGTAAATTCTGTCCTCAGTTATACCAGTGTAAGTCTGGAGTAACTCCCTTGATTTCAGGCTCAGAATTTGACCCTTTATATTTTTGTATTACATAATTAGAAAAGCTTCAAGTACAGAAGTATCCAAAAAGAAATAGCTATATTGAACTGCAAAGTGAAAGATTAATTTCAGAGTGTATTAGGCCGAGTTTGTACATGACTTATAGCCCATGCAAGTAGTTACTAGGTACCAGTGTCCTGCTAAGTAGCAGGTTTATCAGTTCTCAGTAGTTGTTGGATGAGTGTCATGCTTTTAAGATATGTTCAGGTCACTGGAAATCTGTTCTGTTTCTGTCTTTTTTCTTTGGTTGAGCATGTTGCCACTCAGTATCCTGCTAGAGAGCTTTTGTAGGCTGAGTTTTCGTGAACTGGTATTAGCTAAAGACTCTTTATCTCATCATGACCATCATCATGGCAAATCCTGAAGGGATGTAACCTTCTTGAAGACTGAGTGCTACCCAGATCAGTCTCTAGTTAGGTCCTTAATATGAGCTGCCTGGATATTCAGTCAGTGTCCATCATAGAATATTAGGCTTGGAAGAGACCTCAGGAGGTCATCTAGTTCAATCCCCTGCTCAAAGCAGGACCAACACCAACTAAATCATCCCATCATCATTGGTGATCTTATCATACTACCAAAGTTTTTGGCACCCATATAATTACCAACTATATGAGCTCATACAAAATGAGTTCAAACTAGCTACAGGAATAAAGGGAAACAAGAAGACTTTTTATCAATACATTAGAAGGAA